AGACGGACGTGCGCTAATGGAATATCAGAACGCTACTATAGTTTTCAGCAACTAGGTTACGGTAGTACTGGTTTTTGCAGATTTCTGACTCGCTGGTGACATTTGGTATCGCCGACACGAGCAAGAACATTCTTGTATGCATATTCGATGACAAAGACGGTTCAAAAATGAAGAAATTGGCAAAAGAAATCGAAGGACGGCCGGAAAACCTGGATAAGTTGACCTCGATCATGGATCTTCGTGTCATTCGAAAGGTTCGTTACTAGACTAACAGCTACGTATATGTCTACATAAAGAATGTTATATGATCTCATAAAATCAATCATCCCATAAAAGAAAACGGGTAAAATGGTAAAAATTCCCATTATTCAGTTTTTTCATTAGACTGCCTAACCGCTTCGTTTTCACCTTTTTGTTCCGCACTGATTGTGTGGGCGGAGTCGGTTGAACAAAAAGTGTCTTTTTATTGACGATCGCATTTTTACAATATTTCAAAAAAGGGGAACGCGTCCTCGAGAAAGCCACAATACGTCTAGTGAACCCGCCCATTCGAGCAGTGTGGAATGTGCCATGGAATCGTATTCCTAATCGTTTTTTATGGCAGAATTTTACACTCAAGAGAGAATAAAATGCTATTACTTTTCGTTCCCCACCATTTTTTAGTCATATTTTTTTCAGAAAACTTTTTTTACTGAACCTGTGAATCTGACGGTGGTTTTTCCAGATATACCAACTGCGAGACGAGAAGTTCAACGAGGATACGTTCACTGATCGGGTTCTGTCACGAATCATCACCAAAGACTTCATGTCATAACGGGATTGATAGCGCATTACTACTAAGTTTTTCTGCTCCAGATGTATCATAGTTGTATTTCAGGGGAGGGATTTGTAGATTTCTCGTCGCCTTTGCATCTCGAGTGAAAATCTCTTTGCTTCATCTTCTTGGTGCGGCTTTGCCTCCGCTAGTTAGGCTTTATTCTTTTCTTGAGTCAAACTTTGCCACTGCTGTCTTTATAGTCCACACAGTCCGAACTCATCATATGGGCGGAGTCGAGCGTATCATTTTGCTTTCCTCGTTGACGCGCTCCTCCTCTTTACCCTATGAGATGGGAGGGATGCATCAGTGAAGAAGATGCAATGGTAGGCCTACTCCACCCATGCGATCGGCGTGGACTCGTGTCTTTGAGGAAGTTTGAGGGTTCACATGCGTAATCATTGAAAATTTCTGGTTTCTTTCTTTGGAACTTGATTATCCTTCTTGCGAGGGTACAAAATAGAGTATATACTTATATTGTTTAGACTTAAGAATGTAGTGATCCTTTGATCAATAATGCAATAGTTAACCTGTTGTTGTGTTCTGTTCAGTGGTTTCTAATAAATATTGCATTATTTTAGTCAAAACAAAAACATGTCATAAACTTTTTGACAACTATTTTTATTACTCGGGATGGAGGGAAGGGCCACTGCCCCCCCCCCTCCACAAGGGTGTGTATTGTGTATATTGTGGTTATCTGAAACCCCACTCGTAACAACAAGTAAGGGTTCCAGATGTCCTCCTTAGGATACGAAAATGACGAAAGAAGTAAGAGTTGCAATCCTCCTATACAAATTTTTATTACACCTCTGTACAATGATTACAAGTTATAGTGCCCGAAAAGCCAGAAGAAACAGTACAACAACTCCGATCGTTAGTCCTCCGGCCGAATTGCATAAATCACCGACACAACAGCAGTTTCGCTCGTCACTGGGACCTTCACAGCCAGTCTCCTGAACGTAAAAATCAGAGATTATAAATTGATCGGCTGTCCTATGTAGGTACATGTGAGTTGCGCTCAGGATTGTAGAGGCATATGAGTGAGGATCACTACTTTGCCTTCGCAACTTTGGCTTGATCACTTTGATTAGTCGGAGAGAGATGAGAGGGGGGGAGGAGTACGACAACGTGTTTTCTCACTTCAAGCTAAGTTCAATACTAGGCGCGCGGTCCTATGAAGGCTCTGGTACTCCAAAGTGCAGGGTGTTTTTAGTCACTGTACTACCATGTAATATGAATCTCTGCTACTACTATAGCAACTAGTGGCAATCGGATTCCAATTTCGAAGGTAATCATACAGGATTAAAGAATGTGCGGGGGGAAGGGACAAGCATACAGAATCGAAGAGTATGCGAGCGGGTGCAGGTTATGGGGATATTAGGGTTGTCCATCCGCTCCTATCTGCAAGGCAAGTGGTGCCGGTCGCCGGACGCACGGTCTCGAACTCAGATTCCAGACCGAATCCGGTGGGGGGGGGAGTCCTGGCATCACCTCC